GCCACCAAATACCTTCTAGGAGCATAAAATTCAAGCCACACTATCCCAATCACTATCACACTATCATGGCTGTCTTCTTACTTTTGAAGCATCTACACTAGGTGAGAACTACGCTTACTCAAGGGCTCTTTTTTAAGCATTCCGGGTAGTAGGAGGGATAATTTCAGTGATAGGACAGGAACATCGACTATATGAGCGCACTGCTGAGGAACATGGTGATCAAATTGAAGAAAATCAAGATGTCGGAGTAAATGAAACTTGAGGCACAGTGATTAAGCTAAGGAGTCAACAGTTTTGAAACCACAAATCCAACCAAGCACATTTCAAACATAACGCAATGCAATACACCAAAACCAATAATTAATATATAAAAAAACATATGACAGGAAACGTCCGAGTCTTTACAATCGACACCGTTCAAATACAAATTTGGCATCATCTAACAATTAAAAAGTGGAGGCGTTCAGATCAGTGGCCTAATTTCACCGTGGATTTGACGTGGCTGGTAAAATAGATTCGAATGATTCTGCACTAATGGCGATACGCTCAATGAGATCGAAGTTCTCGAGGTGCAAAACAGCTGTTTTAAATTCGTGTTCCAGAAGTTCAATTCCTTCTACAAGTTAAAGAAATTGAAAAAAAACATTAGAAAAGGAGAGATAATATAAACTAATGTACAAGATGTACACTAACCAGGCAACAGCACATATTAGTTAGTAGAGGGTGGCATACCTTAATTCACCCAACAACGAGGCCCCATGATGCTAATCCGCCAATCAATGCTGGGCATTGAAACGGATGTTAAAAGTGAAATAAAGTGAATGCGTAATTGTGCCCGCCTACATATAGAAGTCACGGGCTTCGTGCATAAAGCATAGTAATATAAAATTCACTAGCAAAATGAATTACTTACCAGTTAAGGTCCCATATTTCAAGGCATTTAAAAGATCCTCAATATGGATTCCGAAAGGCATTTCTAAATCAATTTCCTTCAGAGAAATCGACATTCTGAGACAAAGTCGGGTGACCGCTTTCTTCTCCACACGCGATACCAATTTCTTGTCTTAAATAAAGCATATTATAATAGATACAAAGATTAGCAACTTAAATACAACGAGAATTCAGTTAAATCCACTAGCAAAAATAAATAGGATTACAATGACAGCTGAACAACTTACCGAAGAATTTGTCTAGGATCTCACGAATTTCAGGTGAATTATTGCCTTCAGGAGCCTCACCCATGTTAGAAGGCTCTTCACCATTAGGATCAGGTGAAATTTCAGTCTCAGACTCTTTCGGGGAAACAGGTTTCTCCACGACTGTACTTTCCTTATTGAAAGATTGTTCGATTCCTACAATTGGAATTATATTACAAAAACTAATACCGAATAAACTGACAGCCTGGCATATTAGTAGCCGAAATAAATTGCAAAATATTTAAATCCCTCCTTCCTAACTACTTTCATTGTCAACCACCAGACCCCTTTCCCTTCACATAATCTACAATCCGTATGTGCAAATGGAGCGAAGGTGAACAATTGATTTGTGACACAGCCCATGCCGTGTATATCTATATTTCACGAGGGTCTATATATCAATTTTGTGCAGAGAAATCGACATTCTGAGACAAAGTTGAGTGACCGCTTTCTTCTCCACACGCGATACCAATTTCGTGTCTTAAATAAAGCATATTATTGGGTGTGCGATAGACTTACCCCCATGTGGAGCACCCTATGCAAAGAATACTCAAACGGCAAAAAAGTCTACTAACTGGCAATTGACTTCTGGCTCCAAACTACAATGGCCCAACTGTATGCCATATTCGACCACTTCCACATTCATCACCTCACCTTTTCTCTGCCTTTGTGTCTGTCTCTTTTACATCTGTAAATCACTCTTCTCTCCCCCACTCCTCGACTTTCTGTTACTTTGATGTTCCTTCGCCCTGTGAAGCCCAAAGTCAGCTAAAGGGCTAATGATAACTATCAAAACGCCTGCTATTTGAAATAAATAAATAAATAACTAAAGCAAATTATAATAGACCCAAAGAATAGCAACTTAAATACAACGAGAATTCAGTTAAATCCACTAGCAAAAATAAATAGGATTACAATGACATCTAAACAACATACTGAAAACAATGTCCACGATTTCACGAATTCCAGGTGAATTGATGCCTTCAGAAGGATTCTCACCCATGTTAGAAGGCTCTTCGCCTTTAGGATCAGGTGAAATTTCAGTCTCAGACTCTTTCGGGGAAACAGGTTTCACCACGCATGTACTTTCCTTACCGGCAGATTGTTCGATTCCTACAAGTGGAATTATATTTCAAAAACTAATACCGAATAAACTGACAGCCTGGCATATTAGTAGCCGAAATAAATTGCAAAATATTTAAATCCCTCCTTCCTAACTACTTTCATTGTCAACCACCAGTCCCCTTTTCCTTCACATAATCTACAATCCGTATGTGCAAATGGAGCGAAGGTGAACAATTGATTTGTGACACAGCCCGTGTCATGTAGATCTATATTTCATGGGGGTCTATTTATCAATTGGAGAGGCTCTACAAGTCACCACTCCCCTGCCAAGATTTCTTGCCCAATAGCTTACGTTGAGGCCTGGAAAACTCCACTTATTGCTACTTGTCGAAGGAATCTCGAGCGAACTAGTTGACTTATGTTAGGATCAAAAGTAAAGGAAATTAGATCTAGATCAAGAGAAGAACTAATCTTACGGTTTGAATCCGAGATCGAGACTGCTGGAGTAATTGCAGACATATCTGAACTTTGCGATTTTAGTAGTCGGTTAAAGTCCACCGGGAAGATTGGCTCCAATTTCTCTTGTCCGTTTTTTCCCGACTAAAATGCAAATAGCTTGTTCGTTCAATTGAAACATCAAATTTGGCTTCTGCACATTTAAAATCCAGAGAAACTTACACTTGGTGATAGCTGACGATGGTGAACGTCAACAGAATTGGCGTTTTTAGAGATTCGCGAACCTGTGGAAAAGATGGCGCAAAAGGACTCGTTAATAGACTGTGAAGGAGATGAACAGAACTTGCATATTTCATTCGTGTATTTGTCTTTTTTTGACTGGATTCCTTATCATTTAGCTCTAACTTATAATTCTAGCATAATGTGCTATCAATTAGGGTTCGAAAACTCCACATTTTGGGATTTTGAGAGGTAAATATAATGAGGCAAAATGAACAACAATAATCATTCACTTCCCAGAACAACGCGTTCGTCAACTTATCATTCTTCAATACATGCGTTTGTTGAAACAGAGTTAGGGACGACCCAACATACCTATTGATTCTCGTCAATAAGTCCTTCACTTGAGTCTGAGACCTCTTACTCTTCCACAGCACTGTGTCATTAAAAATCCAACTGATGTAATAGGAGCGCTCAAAAGCAGAAAGCAATCATACCATAACAAAGAATCCACCAGCATTTCAACACACCCCCGATAGATTACCTTTTCTCGAAAAAAAATCTATGGAGTTAAGTTAACAGTTTGGCAAAGAATGTATATTCTAAGCGAATAGCAAGTGAAATCCTTATTTCCACCTCTAAATAACCAAAGACATAAAAAAGGATAGGCATATTATAAACCACATATTGAGATTTGCATTTAATAACTCACGTGCTGCCCGTTTTCGGATTGTAGTTCGAGCTGCATTTTTGACTCTCTGAGAAGGACGTGTGTAATTCTTTCGAGGTCTAATTTGTTTCGGATGAGGCATTGACACCACCGGTGGACAGTAGTTGCTACCATTACCGTTATAAGCAGCACGGCAACTGACATCCTGAGGGTTGAAGGGGACTTGATTCAAGGTATCTATTAGGCGTGAAAGTTCAATAGCATAAGCAAGTTTTAAAGATGGCACAGATTTTGCATAACTAGCTATTTACTCACTGGCATTATACATTGGAATTTGTTGGAATGCCATGGCTTGAGGAGTTGGGTTTGAGCCATTGCCGA